CGACTGATGCAGTGCATTGTTAGTGAGCACTGCAGGTGTGGTCACAGAATGGTTTTCAGGCTCGTCACTGGTCTTTTTGAGCTTTACTTTTGTGATAGACATTTGAGAGTATGCTTCATTTCCTCTCACAGGTCAAAGAAATTTTTCAGCTTTATAGAAGGCTGCCTGGTGAAGAATTACATGCAGCGGCCCTCTACAGAGCAGCTTTTAAAACACCCTTTCATAAGAGATCAGCCCAATGAAAGGCAGGTTCGAATCCAGCTTAAGGATCATATAGACCGGACCAGAAAGAAGAGAGGCGAGAAAGGTATGAAGGCTCCTTCATGTTCACCTTTCTGACATAACATCGAGAGCGGGTAGTCCAGTGGTAAACGCACCAGTTTTCATGCTGACATTTTAAGTACAGGCTGCTGTTGTGCTCCACACCCTTCCCGGCCATCCTTCTTTCTCTCTGTGCTCTTCCACCCTGACACCCTCTGTCCTCTTCCTGTCACATGGTCCTGTGCCTTCCTGCACACTTACACAGCAAGAGCAAGAGTAAGCTAACGTTCCTCATCAGACCGCCTCCCCTCTCGTGGTTCCTGTCTGGTTTTACGTCATAGACCCATACACTGACGCAAACGGATAAACAGTGTGAAGTACACCTCATAGACGTGTAGTATTTGCCTTTCTGAGTTTGGGTCTCAGCGCTTGTTTTAATATTTGCCAGACCCATGCATTTCCCTGAAGGTTGATTTGGCTGCGCAGAGCCTTCTATTTCCTTGTATATGTTTTTGGATTACTTTTTTAAGCACAAGAAGATTTTTCTATGTAGTGTTGTTTTCAAGTGACATAATGTTTTCATTGTAGGCTCTGCATCAGGTTTATTCCTGGACACCTGTTTCTTTCTCAGTGAGTTTGTGATTGTCATATAGGAAAGCTTCTGGGTTTTTTATGTTAATTCTGTATCCTGCAGGGTCTTTAAGTATCTGAGATTAGCAATACTTTGAGTTCTTCCTTATTTTTATACCTTTTGCATCTTACTGTTGAGTTGGGTGGAACTTGGAACTCTGTATCAGAGAAATGTCTAGTTCAGGTTCACGACCCTTGTCTAGTGCAGTGTTTACTATTTAGAAGTTTTAGGTTTTGTGTTCTGACTTTCTTCAGGATTTTTTTTTTTTTCTTAAGTGGGGCCTCACTATAGCATAAGCTGCAGATTCACAGTGATTCTTCCATCTTAGACTCGCCTGTGCTGGAATGGGTGTGTGCCAGGAGTCAGGATTTTTCTCATTCTGAGCTCTGTCCCTAAGTTTATTTATGTCATGTATTGCATGTTTTGTTTCCATAGCTCTGCATCCCTGAGATAAGACCAATTTGGTTGTGGTATCTAGTCTTAATATATTCTTGAATACGGTGTTCAAATATTTTGTTGAAAAATTTTCACCCAATGTTCCTTAGAGAAACTGGCCTGTAGTGCTCTTTTCTTATTCAGTCTTCATTGGGTTGTGCTGATAGGTCATCGTGCCTTCATAGGACGAGTCTGGTAGTGTCTTCTTCTCTCACATGGAGTGGTGAGAGTGTTGATGTCAGATCCTCCTCAACGACTTGACAGCAGCCTGCCCTGCGTGTGTCCTGCAGTGTGTGTGTGCCCTGTGTGTGACTTCTTGATCACTGATCCAGTCTCAGTGCTTGCTAAGGACATCTTATAGATGTCATTGTGGTAAACTCTAGACATTTAGAAGTTTATTCATTTCTTTTTTTTCCAATCTTTGGAAAATAAAGCATTTTCTCATGATCTTTTGGGTTTCATTGGCTCTGTGGTAACAATTTGCTTTTCATCTGTATTTTATCAGTTTGAGTTTTCTCTGTGTTTTTGTCAGTTTAACTTGGAGTGTGTCAATCTTGTTAATCTTTTCAGCAGATTGGCTGTGGCGACTGCTTTTGTGGACTGCTCTTCCCGTGTCCATCTCGGTGCTTTCTGTGCTGCTCTCCACTTCTTCTCATGGGCTGCGCTTGCTTCAGCTTCGTGATTTCTCTAGATCATCATTTGAGATCTCTGAATTTTTAACACATCTGTAATCTCCATCATCTATGTATTGATCATCTCTTTATATTTATCAGAAAAACACTTTTGTGTGTGAACATGCTGATGCTGTTGAGTTATTTTTCTTGTGTGCACTTTTTCACAGAAAATTCATTTACTAGATGTTATCAGTGGTGAAAGACCAGCTCTTCTGTAGGGAGTATAGCCAGCTCAGAATTCCCTGCCTCTGATGGGGAAGTCAGGGATTCTTCTCCTCATGCTGTTTTCTCAAAGAGCGTCTTGTTTTGTTCATTCTGTTTTTGAAACGCTTGCCTGCACAGGAACCTGTGAGGATCTGAGCTCTCCCGTTTCTTTTGGCCTTGTCTTTCAGATGAGACGGAGTATGAGTACAGTGGGAGCGAGGAGGAAGAGGAGGAAGTGCCTGAGCAGGAGGGAGAGCCAAGGTATGGACGCCAGCCAGACCAGGCTTCACTGATGCCCACACTCCTTGAGGTTGGCGTGGAGCAGTGAGCAGCACTGGTTTGCTTCCTGTCTGCCATTTTTCTCACCCCATGGCAGATCTCTATGAACAGTTCCAAAACTCCTGCCTATTTTTTAGTTTTGTTTTTAACCCAATTTTATGTTTGAGGCTGAGGAAATAATGCTTCTGACATTTATTGCTGCAGAAGGCACAAATGGTACAAGTCTGGTGCCAGACAGAAGTCATTCCCCACACGCAGAGAAGCAAGCAGCTCTGAGGCCAGCAGGCCTTCTGCTGAGAAACTTTCCCTATATCATATGTGGTTGCCAGCCTCTGGCCTCCCTTTGGGTGTCTTCTGCCTAGTTTATCTCAGTGAAGCCAGGCAGAAGCCTAAGGAGACTGGTTTACTGTTTACTTTAGTAATGGGTTTGCCTGCAACCGTCCGAGCTCTGGCCTTACCTTTGGCTGAATACCAAACAAAACCAAGATGAAGGTTGTGTTGAGACACATGGGAGCCATGAGTTGGGAATAGAAGTTCAAAGAGGTGTTTTTGTTGTTGTTGTTGTTTTGCCATTCTGTGTGATGTGGGCTTGGGGAACCAGCCCCCAAAGCAGAAAATGATAGCTAAGTTTTCTGTGCGAAGCCCCCATTCACAAGGCTCCTGTGAAGCCTACTGCTGTCTCTGATGATACAAAATAGTGACAGGGAACAAAGCAGGCTTGGTGTAGGCCAGATGAAAATGGAGGGATGCTGGCACCAGTGGGCCAGTTCCTCTGTGCAGTAATGCAGAACTAGAGGACCAAAGGGAAACCAGGGATGAAAGAGGAGGAGAGTCCCAGGCAGGAATGCGTATCTGCTGGGACTGCATTTTTAACGTTACGGAGTGACAGAGTCTTTGAAGCAGTAGGCGTAGTCGTCTGGGTAGACATGTTGACTGAACTCCTGGGCCCAGTAAGTAGCCCCATGAAGGAAACTGGGTGTGTGCCCTTGGGTCACTCCCTCTGAGGCCCAGGTGATGCATGGAGCCCTGACAGACCTGTCCCCTGCAGTTCCATAGTCAATGTGCCTGGAGAGTCAACTCTGCGACGTGATTTCCTGAGACTGCAGCAGGAGAACAAGGAGCGGTCTGAGGCTCTGCGGAGACAACAGCTTCTGCAGGAGCAGCAGCTCCGGGAGCAGGAGGAGTACAAGAGGCAGCTGCTGGCTGAGAGGCAGAAGCGGATCGAACAGCAGAAAGAGCAGAGGCGGCGGCTGGAAGAGGTAGTAAAGAATTCTGTGTTATTTTTTCTCTTCCTTACCCATGTTCACATCAGACACCCAGCTAGCTTGTTGAGGAAATAGGAGCTATCCGTAGTGAGGTAGTCAGTCCCTGCCCTGCTGCAGCAGCTCAGAGAACTTCTGTGGGGGGGTGTGGCTGTGCACTCGTCGGTTTCACATGCCTGGAGCATCTGCCTGACACTATGTGCATATCGTGAGGTGCAAGACTGCCCAAGACGTGTTTCCACTGTGCTTAAATTGACTTGCTTAGACTTGACGTAATTTCTCTGCCATTCTTGGCTTTTGTGACCCAGTTTTATATTTTTTTGAAACTTCAGACCTTTTCCCATGAAAAGGCTCCACGGATTAAATGCTTGCACCCAGCACAGCAGCTTGAGTTTGATCCCAGGTCCTGGGTAGTGTAGAGAGAAAGAATAAACTCTAGCAAGTTGTCTTCTGACCCTGTGCATGCACACGCCCCCACATACATGTGCATGCACACGCCCCCACATACATATACACAGTAAATACATTTTTTTAAAGAGGAGAGATTCAGAAAGCAGAGTAGTCAGTAAGGTTACTTGTACTTTACGGTGGGCAGAGTTTGCACCATTTTCATGAAAGGCATTGATACTATAAACATTGGTTATGTAATTATTTATAGGTTATTTTTATTTTTGATTCACACAAATATGCTATTTCCCTGTAATTCACTTGAGGATCAAAACTTTTGATTTTCTTTTCTTGACAGCCTCTTACTTTATATGCCACAACCCTGCAATTTCTCATTCATCATTTGGTTTGAACATCCTTTTTTTCTGCCTCTTAATTGTTTTCCCTAGTAGAAGAAACATCAATGATAAAACACTGTAATGACATTTCCGGTGGGATTTAATTTAAGTAACTAAACATGCTGCTTGTTGCCTAGGTCATGGGATAGTCTGTGTTGTCAGTGGTGCCTTTGATTATGCTGTGCATCTGTTCGTTGCTTGGAAAGCCAGTGTGCCTCTCTGAGGGAGATAATGTAAATAATATTCTGTTAGAACTTTTAGGGGGAAAATCATTGAGTGTCTGTATAACTTTTAAAAATGGACTTGTTGCAAAATCATTTGTAAAATATGTAAGATTATTCTCACTGTTCTGTGACCAGAGCAGAAAGCCGGAATGAGCTTGATCCTGTTGGAGGTAAGACACAGGAGGCTCTGGCCTTGTCTGCGGCTGTGTTCCTGGGATGTGCTCCACTGCCCAAGCAGGTGCAGAGCTCACCCTGTGGGGCTGCGCCTTGTCTTAGGGACTGGATTGTCAAGTTTGTTTGTAGCACAGGTGGTGAGGGAGGCTTTCAGGCTGCAGTAGTGAGACAGGCAGCTAGTGTCTGTTGGGTAGGCCGTGAGGATGACAGGGTGAGCTGAGGCCTGAGAAAGATGCTGGGTGAGTTAGAGATGTCTGCTTCACACCTTCTCACTGGTCTGCTCGTTAATATTCACACTCAGGCTCACCTGTGCAGTGACTGTCCTTAAGCACAGAGGAGTGGGAGAGATACTTAGGGGTTAAGAGCACTTGCTCTTGCAGAGGGTCCCAAGTCTGGTTCTCAGCACCCACACGCAGCTCATAACAGTTCTTGACTTCACGGGCAACAAGCACGCATGGTTACATATAAATACTTGCAGGCTAAACACTCACTTGCTAAAAGTAAAATAAATCTAAAGAAGACAAGAAAGGAGGAAAGGAGGTGTTAAGGAAACGAGAGCGAGGGAGGGATGGATTTGATCAAAACTCAACAGTACAAATCAACCCTTAAAAACAGCTAGACACTGGAGTGCCAAGTGTGCTCACACACAGATCCCCTTGGGACCCTGGGAGGCCTTAATTGGAAATTAAAAGGGAAACTTCTTTAATTCTTGAGGCTGGTTTTCCTTAAGTGGAGGTAGCTCTAGGCATTGTTTGCACCAGGTTCCAGAGCTGTCATTTAGGAATCTTTGGGGTTAAGTGGTTTGTAGTCATTTCAATAAAAGGCTAAGTCAGGTGGTTTTGAAAGTAAGAATTCCTGTTATGAACAATGTAGGTGATGTTTCTTGGTCTCACAAGATGCCTGAGTGTTAAAAACTAAAACTTGGGCCACTGAGTCTGATGGCCTGAGTTCAGACCCTGGGACCCACATGACAGATGGAGAAAACAGACTCTTCCCAGTCGTCCTCTGACCTCATGAGTGCGTTGTGGCAGCATGCTGCTCAGACTGCACCCTGGATAAATGTAGTTAAAACAACAACCCAAAGCCTAGATGGCTTTCTTTCAGTAGGCCAGCATAAGATGCTTAAAAAATCAGACGTAAGGGGGACCATGATACAGAAGCCCCCTTTTGGCACCTGCCGTAAGACTTGGCTTGGTGCAGCTAGGTATGTCCTCTCCCTTCGTTACGGAGGTCCGTCTTTCAGAAGTACTTAGTGTTGCTTTTGTACTTTGTATGGACACACAGATTCGACTCTTGCCTCCAAGGGAGTACTAAAAACTACTCTGAAGCCAGATTCGAGTTGTAATGGCTAGGAACAGTCCACAAATACCCCAATCCTGCATGATAAGGTTTATGAAGTTGTTGCAGTTGAACAGCTCTAGGTGAAGATGCTTCTCTTCAGGTCTGTGTGGGCTTATTTAGCAAAGCCAGGAAATCCTGTTACACACCCAGGTGCTGATGACCTCTTAACCTGCAGGTTGGTGGAAGCTAAGAGTGTTCATACATTCCAAAAAGATTTACCTAGTAATCCTGGATATTACCTCAAACACAGATGAGCAGTGAATGGTTACTGAAGAGACAAAATACCAGCTGGATAAATCCAGCTCTCAGCCACACTGTACTGAGCAGCCAGCCTCACAGATCTTAAGCACAGGTGATTGCTCTTGGCTGCTCAGTTCACATAGATGTGCTGGAATCTGTCCTCTGGTTTTACTGAGATTGAATTGTTTGCTTTCTGCCGTTCTTGTAGTCCCGGGAAGACAGAGCGTGCTGAGCTCAGCAGGCTAGCCTTTTCACTAAAGCTCTTGGCTCCTTTCTCTGCTGCTTGTTCATCTTCCTGTTTGTGAGCTCTGCAATAGGAAGCCCACTCTTCCCTGTCCTGTTCTTTCTGCGGGTATTAAATACATAATTTCTACTCTGTGCTTTTCCTTTTGTGTTTAGCCCTGGAGTCTGAGCTGTGGCTTTGTGCCTGGGGGTTGCTTTCCTCCAGGGTGGCTCTGAGGCTGGGCCTAGCAGACTCCTCCTTGCTTTCCCCAGGAGACACATAGATATTCCACTTTAGAGATGGAGGTAGAAGTAAATAGCAACATAAAATGTTGTCCTGAAGTGGGGTTAGCACAGATGGTCAGCTTTAGCATCAGGCAGACAGTTTCTCAGTAAGAATTAGTAAGCTGTCTGTCATGTGTCTGTTGTGTTTGTGTGTTTAGGAGAGAAATTCTGAACTCCTTTGCCGCAGAAGATTTTCCAGAGGGTTTGCACACAACCCATTCCTCGTTTGCCATTGCCTTAGCACTGACCTCAGGGATCCCTGTTGACTTGGTGCTGCCTTCTCATGGCTCCAGCTTTAATGTTGGGCAGTGTTCCCAGGGACCCAGAGCTCCAAGCCTGGGCCTTGTCTGTCCAGTCAGCAGGGCTTGGTTGTTTCTACTGTGGTCCTGTTTATAAGAACCTCTTGTAAGTTCTTAAGTGTTCTTTTAATATACAATCTTGTGCTTTATTTTTAGTTAAATTGTGTAAAGAGTTAGTTTAATTCATCAGACATTGGTATGGGCAAGAGTTTTCACTGCGGGGAAAGTCCGGTAGGTTTTTTTCAGCCCCTAAGTTGATTAGATCTGTAACTTAAGCAAGCACAAGGTTGGTGTGTGTGTGCAGCAGTATGCCTTCAGTCTCCTGAAGTCGCTGACTACAGTGTGCTGGGAGAGCCTGTCTTACTGAGGCTGGGAAGCCCAGTGTGGCATATTTGAAGTTAGTGTGACAGACTTAGGGAAGGTTTTTAACTTTGAATACTAAACTGGTAAGGGGCGTGGGTAATGAAGCACAGCTAGAAAGTATACATGCTTGAGAACACTCCAGTAATCAGAAAACCTGTGATTTAGAGACTTTGGAATCATTCCTGTACTACTGTGCAGCTTTTCAGTTTGATTTTTATTAAGTGTACATATATTAAGAAAATAATAACATCAACTTGACAGTCATAGACGTAAGGTTAACCTAGTATAGATTGTATAGGTGGATGGCAGAGTCAGTAAGATACATTTGGAAAGTCAATTTTTTTCTTATACTATTACACTTTCTAAATACGAGGAGCTTTGGTTGCTCACTAAATGTATTTTGTTGTTTCTTGGTCAGAATCTTCCATTCCAGGTCTTGTGAGGTGGTGGAGGTTTGTGGTGTAGGAGTGTCTCTGGTTGCCACCTCTCTGTGCTGCTGCGGCACGTGGCACACGCCCCTCCTCTCCTGCTGACTGATGTCTGCAGTGCACTGGGCACTGGTTTCTTTATGGGTGTGCAGTTGCTCTTTCTCCCCAGCTGCTGCCGAGACCACTCTGTTCCACTTCCCTACCTGAGGGCCGAGTCTGCCATCTTATACTTGCCTACATTCTAGCAGTTTTTATTCTGGGCATTACTTACACCGTGAACACTGAAGCCTGGTGTGGGGGGTGAGCAAGAACAAACGACCTTGATCTTTGCCTTGGATCCTCGGCTTGTCCGTTCATTGTCCCAGCCAAGACTTGCTTAATGGGCTCCTCGGAAACTTTTCCATGTGCTCTGTTATCTTGTGTGTTTTTCTCTTCACCCTCATCTTCACATACCCATGGTACTTGTTAATGAATGTTTCTCAAGTGGCTGAGTCAGCCATTTGTAGCCCAGTGTGTGTATCGCTAAAGAAAAGGGGCTGTTGATATTGTACCCATTTGCAAATGGATTCTTAGCTGTGAATCTCAGACACACTGTGGTCTCTTCAAAGACCTGATGTCCCAGAGATAGACGACACGCTTTTAAAGTATGACACACCACCAACATCCGGCTATTACTTACACCTGTATCGCATGTGCAAAGGTTAGGCTGATTTCTATCTCAGTGGATGGACAGATACTTCAGTCTCTGTTCCTCTGAGTGTGAGACGCTGAATGTGGCCACAGCAGTTTCCTCCAGGATGCCCATCCCTGATGTGAGGATCAGATTTGATAAAGGCCAACACAGGCAGAGGGATCTCAGCAGTAGCTGAGCATTGCTCAGCATGTGTGAGGCTTTAGAGTCAGTCCTTAGCAACACTCCCACAAAAGGTCATCTGTTCCTCTCACAAAAGTGATTTATACACGGAAGGGGAAAGGGAACAAAATATAACCATACTTTCAAAGAATTTAAATTCCAAAACAGTTTCACTTGAAAGTAAGAAGAAAATGCATTTTGCAAGCTTTCCGTTGATAATTGAGTTTTATTTATTTTATTTTCTGTGTAAGAGTTTCACCTGCATGTGTGTCTATGAGCCATGTACATGCAGTGCCCACAGTGGCCAGAAGAGGGCAACAGATACACTGGGATTAGAGTTACAGATGCTTGTGAGCAACCACATGGATGCTGGGAATGGAACCTGAGTCCTTTGGGAGAACAGCTTCCAAGCCGTCTCTCCAGCCCCTGAGGTTGGCTTTTTCTTTGTTTGCACATTTTAATGTAGCCTTTCTATGTTTTAAAGACATATGTTTGTCTTCTTTCTAATAATATATTTTAAATTTATTAATCTTAATTATTTAAAATAATTGAATGAAAGATCATGTTGACTTTGAATCATGTTGACAATTTAAAAAATCCTTCGTAAATAAATCTCACAGAAACGGCTGCGAAAAAGTTCACATGCAAAAGAGACCTAATGTGGAAATTAGGTAGTTCATGGGAGGGACTAGTGGGCAGGTTTGTCAGAGGAGGAGTATACACAGACAGACAGAGAGATACACACACTGTGTGTGTGCTTGTGTGTGCAGTGTTCATCTAGGATACTGTTCTCCTCAAGAGTAGATGTATTCTGTGTGGGGAAAGGAAGGAGAGGCTCAGCATCAGGCATAACTGAGCGCGCAGAGGCCTCAGGAGACACATTCAGCGGGTGTGCTAGTCAGAGTGGCTGACAAGTATTCTCTCCTCAGTAGCTCACACACTGCAGTACAAGTGCACTCTCTTTCCCACAGTCTTTCCCCAGATTTTGTAGGATATTGGGGGATTCCCAGAATATGTTTCCAGAGACCCTTGACCAGTACAGAGAGCAAGCATCTGTAAGAAGAGGTCGGACTGTGAGTTGTTACTGTCTGCACCACTCACGGGGGTTTCATGTCCTGAGAGGAAATGCTCAATGAAGACCACAGAAACCAAGGAGTGTCTTCACCATGGAAGAGTTTGGGATGGACAGGGGACTCAGTGGCAGTGCTTGCCTTGCGAATATAAGGCCCCAGACGTGTTCCTCAATAGCAGGACAAGGAGGACATAGAAGGAAATGAGACAAAATAAGCACAGGGAAGAAAACCATCACACACACACACACACACACACACACATACACACACATACACACACACATGCATTTAACAAAATATTCATAGAAGAGGAGGTATATTCATGAAAGAATATTTGAAAAATAAGAGATTTATGCTAGGACCACCAACTAGCTTTAAAGGTTAAAAGGTTAAGTGTTTGGTACAAAGCTCGGGACAGTGACATTCACACCTTCCTTTGTTGGTAGCTTTGAGGTATTTCTAGCAGTGATGGTAGCGCTTGCCTTCTTCTGCTGATTTTGATTTCTTTTTGTTGTTTTCTCATGCATGCTTCTCATTTTTCAGGTATTTATCTTCCTTTGTCCTTTCTTCTACCCTTTGTTCATCTATTCCTTTTTGTTCTGGTTAAGGGTCCTAGATACTGATGTCCATGAGTGGCAGATGTGCTGACCTCTAAGTGCTGCAGTGGGGATTGAGGATGCTTGCTTTCAAAGGATTCACAGAAACATTACACCTTCGGCCAGCAGTTATGGGGAAGCTGTTAAGTGCAGGGTGTTGTACAAATACTTGACCAGTACAGCTAGGGTCCAGAACGCACCACATTGACACCTGCTTATCACTGTCAGCCAATCTCATGAGAGCTGCAGTTACAGATTCCTGGTAACTCCACAATTCTACTTCTGCAGCAACAAAGACGAGAGCGGGAAGCCAGGAGGCAGCAGGAGCGTGAACAGCGGCGGCGAGAACAAGAGGAGAAGAGGCGTCTCGAGGAACTGGAAAGGCGGCGTAAAGAAGAGGAAGAGAGGAGACGGGCAGAAGAAGAGAAGAGGAGAGTGGAGAGGGAGCAGGTGAGCTTACAAGAATGTCAAACTAGGTGCTTGCGGCGGCCTCTAACCCTGGAGCTGGAGCCCGGGAGCCAAACGCACATGCATGTGTGTGCACATTCAGAGGATTAGGTGTCGAAACATACTGGAAGAGTCTTGGAAAGGCTGACATATGATAGATGTCTGAATATACATTCACAGGCTTGGCTTTGAGCTGCAAATATCTGGGTGATGTTAACTTTTAGACAGGGAAATTAAAAACCAACTTTATGGAAAGTATTAATAAATGCTAGAAGTCCCTACTGGCTGAGTGAGTACTGTGTCCAAGTTTGCAGGTATATCTGTAGCATTGAAGACTTTTTTTGAATGGTTTACAGTATAAAAACTGTTTTTTGTATACTTGTACTTTTATTATTGCCTTGTGGAGCTTATTTGTAAATTTCTTAAATTATTTATACAAAGAGGAAGTAACTTTTCTTAGTTTATATGGCTTTCCTATCTTTGAATTGATCAATCTGTGCTTTGAGCTTTGAACAAAGAAGAAAGTCAGTGAGTGGAAGCCATTTTGAATGTGCTTGGAGTTCATACTTAAAGTACTAACAAACCATGATTTTATCTTCCAAACTCAGTGATCCAGCTGCTGGCCCTGACGTTTGTGTGTCTAAGTGTGGGTCTGCACATGCACCCGTGTTCCTTGACTCTCCATGGTATAGCCTACCTGTTACAGTCTTCTTCTTGGCCCTAGCAGTAGGGCTTATTTGTTTATGTAGGTAATTATTAATGTTTTTATCGTGCTTACACCTGGCAGGCTTCAAATCTGTGAAAATGCTACCTGCTACTTGTCAAGAAGCCACTCAAGCACATTTCTATATTTTATTGTGACAAGAAACTTGGTGGTGGCATTTTAGTTGTTAAGATTTTGTGACTAAGGCTGGAGAGATGGCTCAGCAGTTAAGAGCACCGCCTACTCTTCCAGAGGACTCTGGTTCAGTTCCCAGTACCCACATGGCATCTTACAACCTTCTATAACTTCAGTTCCAGGGATCCAGTGCCCATTTTCTGGCCTCTTCCTGCAGTGCATACACATAGTATACAAGCATACATGCAAGCAAAACACTCATAAATATAAAATACAAATAAATCTTAAGAACCTTGAAAAAAGTGTTGTGAATAGCAAGTACCTTGCACTTCAATGATTTCTTAAAATTGGTTGTTTTATTCTGTTTTTTTTTCCTTCTTTGTAAATATTTCTTTGTTAGCCTTGTTGTGGTGCATGGTGCAGTCCCACAAAATGTGTATATACTGTATTTGCTATGCACATTGTATGTCAGGATCTTAGTGGTTTGCATAGCATGTGGTTTTCCCCAGTTTTCTTGCATTTTGAAATCAGAAAACAAATGTTTATAGTAACTTGGTCTTTCAAGTTATGATTTAATTCTGTTATGTTCAAAAAAGAAATGGTTTGGGACTCAGATTCCTTTTCTCAGACAGCTAAGGCCACATGTCTATCCCAAAGCCACGTGGTGCCTTAACATGCTCTTGGCATGTCAGGTGTAAGCTAAAGGGAACTGGCTTTGGGTGTTCAGTGTGGTTTACAAGATGTGGTGTTCTGTGTGTTTGCAGGCCATTGTTTCTCTGTTGTCTGGCATTCTTCTAACCGGAACTATTGGTTAACTCAAACATCTGGTCAGGTGTATCCTTGGCTGTTTTTATTTTAGGGCAGGTGCCATGAAATAGGGTGGTCAGGAGAGGTACTCACTATAGACACAGAACTCACCTCTGTGGGACAGTTCTCCCACATGCCCTTCCATTGCCCCCTTCTAGGACAAGTAGGTCCTCTTGCTTGCTTAATGTGGGGCTGGTAGTGGCTGTTGTTTTCGTGTTGAAAAAGAAGCTTCTTGCACAATGATTTTGCTCTTGGGAGTTATTTCATATCTAGCTCATGTTCCATTTCTCAAATGAAGAAACAGGTAATAGGATTGAATGTGTGCGGCAGGTGCTACAGCTTGTCTCCAATGGACCTGGGTTAGGGTTTCCTAATGCCTGTGTACTAATAGGATGTGGTTAACCTGAGGGTTGCGAGTTCTCGCCCCTCACTCACCCATCCCCAGTACTGGAGCTTGAACTAAGGGCTTTAAGTGTGTCAAGGCGTCAGGTTACTTCTGGTGTGCTCTGTAGGAGATTACCTGTTTTCACTGTGACTCATGGTCATTTTCTCTTGCTATCACATTATCAGTCTGCCTGTGCACTTGGGCCTGTGCTCACTACACAGACACACAAGCTCCTCTGCATGGACGTGGCCAGTTAACCTGTAGAGAAGTGCCCACAGCCCATAACTCCTGACCATGTCTTCCGACTGTAGTCATCCGGGAGCCTTTGGAATCAGTAGCAAAAGCACAAATCCTGTTTGATTGCTTTGGGATTTTTGGTTTTTTATTTTTAATCTTAAACAGATTGGGTTTTAGTTTTTAAAAATTGCCATTTTATGCTTACTTAAAATGATGCCTTCCAGTTACTGTGTTGTCTGTCGTCCTTAAGAGGATGCTAGCCCCCGTTAAAGTTCTGTATTGGATATGATGATAGTGTACTAGCAGCAGTGCTTGAACACCGCTGCCATGTGCATCATGGCAGTAAGTTAGACTTCTTCAGTTTATTGCCCAGCTCGGAGCCACTGCAAACATCTTCAGCAGCAGATTGTCTTCACAGACGAGTTCAGTCCTTGGTGAGCTTGCTGTCCAGCTTCTGGAGTCGTGCTTGGTTACCACATGGGTGACACAGACGCTTCCCTTCTGGATGTATTGACTGCTGGATAATTTCTGTGTGACAGGAGTACATCAGGCGGCAGCTAGAGGAGGAGCAGCGGCACCTGGAGATCCTGCAGCAGCAGCTGCTCCAGGAGCAGGCCATGTTACTGGTAACGCCCCGCCTCTGTCCCTTCCTAAGTTGGCCAGATGTAGTGACTATCAGACCTTTTTGGTCTTGCTGTGGCAGCCAGGTTCCAGTGAAGATGTCCCCTGGTCATGCTGTCCAGCACAGTGTTATTTCCCAGCAGTAAGCTAACTCCTTGTTTGGTAGATGCCTATCAACTCTTAAACAGACCTGGCATTCAGAGAATGTGAAAATGCTGGAGGTGTCAGGCCCACGGTGCATGCTGCAGGGGTTTTGCTGAGTGTGTGTGTATATATACCACTGTATCTGATGTTTAATTGAATTCCTTTACTCCATAATGATGTTACAGTTAGCAAATGCTGTCACATTTTACACAGGTAACATGCTATTTAAAATCCCAGCCGTTTTGTCTTGCTCTTAAACAAGGGGGTTGGGGGGGTGGAGATGCTGTTTTAAAAAACAAAAGTCAAGAAGGGATCCATAGAGGAGGTGAGCTCCCCAAGGTCCCCAGATTCAGTGTCACCCTCTCCCTCTCCAAGGAGTGCCGATGGCGGGAGATGGAGGAGCACCGGCAGGCAGAGAGGCTCCAGAGGCAGTTGCAACAAGAACAAGCATATCTCCTGTCTCTACAGCACGACCACAGGAGGCCGCATGCACAGCAGCAGCAGCCGCCCCCGCAGCAGCAGGACAGGAGCAAACCGAGCTATCATGCTCCAGAGCCCAAGCCTCACTATGACCCTGCTGACAGAGCTCGGGAGGTATCTGCTTTCCCTTATTGCTTACGTGTTATCCTGAGAAAGCTAGGCGTTCCCTAATGACTGTTGAGAGCTGTGCTGTGAATGTCATAGTGGACCTTGGTGCTAGCCAGGAGCTCACCTTTGATTCTCATTCTGCGTGGATGCCTCGGTTCACAAATGCTAGAGAAATCAGAAGAAAACTACACAAAAAGATTGCCTGGCACCATTATTCCCTAGCATGTGAATGAGAGCAGTGTTAGTCTGGTCTGAGACTGGCGTGAGGATGAAGTAGACTTTTAGCCTGACTTCTTACTGGATCACTGTTGCCCTGGGGTGAGCAGAGCCTCACAGGAGGATGCAGCCAAGTGGGCCTCTATGGGCTAGACAGAGGATGTGGGTGCATCCCAGAGCGCTGTGCAGTCCTGGCCTGCAGATGGCTCCCTTCCACATCCCCCTGCACAGGGAGAAGAGTCGGGGACAGATTCTGTTCTTTATAGAGTAATGAAACTCTTGGCGCTGAGGATGTTCTAGAAGCTGCTTTGCTTAAATTTTCATTTTCCTAGTTTTTCAAAGTCCTCTATCAAGCCTTCGCCCTGCTCAGCACCCACACTGTGCAGCCAGCTGCCTCTCTCAGAGCTGAATAGAACACACTGTCTTGCTCTCACACGCCCTTCATCTCTCCTTTCCTACTAACATGGAGCCATGTCTTCTAATTCTCTGATGCAGGTGGAAGATAGATTTAGAAAGACTAACCACAGCTCCCCTGAGGCCCAGGCTAAGCAAACAGGCAGAGGACTGGAGCCGACCGTGCCTTCCCGGTCAGAATCTTTTTCCAATGGCAACTCCGAGTCTGTGCACCCTGCCCTGCAGAGACCAGCGGAGCCACAGGTAGCAGCAGCAGCAGCTTCACTGTGCTGAAGACTTGCAGAGTGGCTCACCCTGCCCTGTGTAGCTCCTTATCTCACTTAAACGAGGCAGATGGACAGCTGGAGTGAACAGGAGCGTGTGCGTTCAGCTGTAGGGAGAGGAGGCTTGCGGGGTTCTTGTATGTTTGTTTGTTGTCGTTAAGATTTTTATTGAATCGTTAGGACTGTCTCCAGTCAACACTTTTAATTCCCCCTCCTTAACTCAGATGTAAAGTCCCTCCTTCCTGTATTTTATTAGACTTTTAGAGTTGGTTGTATAAGCAGGTTAGAAAAAAAGCAGGAGCTTTTCTCCTGAAGATTTTAAAGTAAGTACTATGTCTGTGGTCCCAGCCCCTGAAGGACCCGGAAGCTGGGGGTGGCCCTGTGATTCCATGAGGGCTTCTACTTATTAAGTAGAATGTGTAGATTTTTCTGGGAAAAGATTTTTTTAAAAAACAGATTCTCAAACCTGTCAAGATTCAAAACAGGTTATGACCAATGGGTTAAATATTGATTTCCTGTAGGAGATTAGGACAACATTTATGACCTTTCCCTCAGTCTGTCCCGTAGTCTATCTTGGCTGAGTGCTCAGAATAGAAGCAGCCGTGTTGTCTAGAAAGGACAGTAGGTGGCAGACAAGTCCAGGAGAAGCTCTGATTCTTGCTCATTCCCTGAGGGTGTTTAGGCTCTCCTCCCTGCTGCTCTGCCTCACACAGATCTCTAAGCTTTCTGTACTTGGTCCTAGTGTTGCATGTCACCTAGGACAAAAGTTGGTGGTTTGGGGAAGAAATGTCCCTTCTGTGACGGCTGCATTCACATGAGAATTTGAGTGTGCTCTGCAATAACAAGCCCTCCTGGGGTATAGTTGAGAAGAGCAGATCTGAGGTGCAGGGTGTGGGGTTTGTGCAGATGTAGCAGCTGAGGGCTTCAGAGAATGAGGCCAAGGACTGTGAGCAGGGGCCTGGGAAGAAGGGTCAACTGCCTCTCCTGTTACTCAGCTTGGTGCCTGTTTCCTCGTGAGAAGCACCTTTGTCCTTAGAGTTAAACCCAACACAAGGGCAAACTTAACCTCTGAGCCAGCAGACTTGAGAAGCTTCTGTTTCAGGAGAGGGGACAGCCTCTCTCTCTTCCTCCTCTGCAGAGTGCTGTTGGCCTAAGCTTTCACCTGCAAGAGGGACACTCACATAGCTCCAAGCGTCAAGTCCCTCTTAGCACTATTTGGTGACACATCCGTTCAGTTACTTTCCCAGTGAGCACTTCAGATGTTTTAGTAGTATGGGATTGTACCAAAGCTAGGATTCTTTGGATCTGCCTGTGAGCCACAGAGACTATGCACCGGGTCTAGCTGCCATCCTGCAGAAGCCAGGCAAGTCAGTTTGAGAAACATGGATTAGTAAGTGCTGAGTTACAGCTCACTAACTGTCTTAATGGGCAGTTATTCTCCAACAGGAGATGGCGCTTACTCAGATAGTTTATAGATTTTTGAGAGAATGTTTTTAAAAGCAACTGCAGAGATTCACTTGGCAAATTGTCACGTTCTTGAGTTCTCATTTCAACGGCATATTCTGACTGGACAGCCCAGGGTATCTTGATTCTGGTCAGCCTGGGGTGTCTTGGTACTGGATATTTTGGTAAAGAAATTTTAATCCCACTTTTTTTCATAATTAGGAATATAAATTCAGCTAGGTTTAAAACATTTTAAGATTGGGAGGAAATAAGAAAATTATTGGTATATGTGATAAGTTGGTTGTTCTTAAGTCACTCTGCTACAGTCCCGTAATAGGAAGAGTTTTGTGTACATGCACAAATGTGTTCTGTGTTTCCTCAGTCAGATTCTCAGACCTGGGGTTGTGAGGTGGTGGGGAGGTTTGCTGTTCAGCAGTGTCTCTGTCAGTGGTCCTACCTCTCTGTGCTGACATGAACATGCGTGTATCGCTCTCCCCTCGGGTCTGTACATGCCCCTGTTCGCTGCCGTCTGCAGTGTGTGTCTGGGCACTGTTTCCCTATGAGTGTGCCTCTGCTCGTTCTCCTGCCTTGTCATCAGCATGGAGCCCGTTTGCTGCTTCATGCTTGACACTGTGCCTCCCTGATTCACACTCCACTTCTGCTACCTCCTGTTTGAGATTTAGTATTGAACAGAAAAGCTAGTTGTATGCAGAACGCATTGAATGTTTTGTGTTTTGTTTTCTTGTAAGGTACAGTGGTCCCACCTGGCATCTCTCAAGAACAATGTCTCCCCTGTCTCGAGATCCCATTCCTTCAGTGACCCTTCTCCCAAATTCGCACACCACCATCTCCGCTCTCAGGACCCATGTCCACCTTCCCGCAGTGAGGGGCTCAGTCAGAGCTCTGACTCTAAGTCGGAGGTACCCGAGCCCACCCAAAAGGCTTGGTCTAGATCAGACAGTGACGAGGTGCCTCCAAGGGTAAGGACAGACAGACAGACGCGCTGTTTTCTCTTTATTTAAACTTACTGTTTGCTGTGATGATGGGAACAGTGACTTCACCAGGGTTAAAGGGCAAGAAGTCAAATGACTTCTCATAGAGGGAAACCAGTTCCCATCTCAACAGTTACAGTTAGTCAATGGTCAGTTAGCTTTTTATTGTTGACTGGTTTTAAACATAATTTAATAAAAAGTATTTAAGAGAAAAAATTGAAACAACATGCTTCTAAATAAGAAGAATTATAAATTTATACAGAAGCTACCCATTATTGTGCATGACATTAAGAGTTTCAGAAAAAGTCTCATGAGGAAAAATGAACAAGACAATCATTTCTTTACTTTAAAGTTGAGCGTATTGTACTTAATAGTACAAGAGGAGTAAAAGGCACATCTTAGTGTATTTTTTCCTCCACTTGGAATTTGCTTCTTCTGAATATTTTCTCGCTTCTTTGCCAGTCTCTGCTTCCTGCTGATCTATTTGTAGACTGTTGTTGGATTTCTTTGAGCTTATTTTCATGATTCTCACATATTATCTCAGTGAAGTGCTGTTGTATGTTCTCTGCCACGAGCTTCATTTCAAACAGGACTTCAGCATGACAGGACTGTAGAGATGGGCCAGGCTGTTTGGATCGTGCAGGAGCAGAGTGGGGTTGGGAGAGGGAGGAGCTTAGCTTTGTGGCAGGTGTTCTGGGCTGAGGAGGCTGTGTTATAAAGTGTGCTGTGATGAGGAGAGCTTTGTTGTCTTTCTTCTGTTGTCTGTCTTAACTGCTGTGTTTCCTACCTAAAGGTTCCTGTGAGAACGACCTCTCGTTCCCCTGTCCTGTCCCGTCGGGATTCCCCACTGCAGGGCAGTGGGCAGCAAAATAGCCAAGCAGGACAGAGAAATTCTACCAGGTAAAAGAAAACTGACAGGAAAAGATGTGTTGTGTGTCGTAGTCTCTTAGAGAGTCATCTTTTGTCTGTTTTCATAAATATACTCCTCCAGCACTGAGGTTCTAGACAGACATCTGTTCTGTTTTACACACACACACACATACACACCAGCAGCAAATTGATCAGTAGTGAGAAACAGATTTGAATCTTGGTGTATATTGTAGTAATTTCAAAATGAAAACTACCTTTCTCTGTAAAGGTAGAGAAGGGAGGATTGAGAACAGGTTCTAAGAAACGTAATTTGAGAGAGTTTTTTAGTCTAGAAAAAATCGTGAGGGTTTAGACTGAGTTAAAAGAAATCAAGCCAAGTCAACCTAGCAACTTGCAATAGACTGCCACACTGGTCAGGTGACGTCATTGCTGAGGTTTAGGGTAGCTCTGTCAAATGCAGTAGCTGTTAGCTAAGTATGAATTTAACTTAGTTAAAATGAAGTAAACCTCACCTTTTTGGTGGCATCAGCTGGGTTTAGTGCTGGTGTCACATGTAGTTAGTGGCTCTGATGTTTGATCAAGTGTGGAGTGTGCAATGTGTGCACTTACTGAAAACTTGTCACCATTGCCCAGCAGTTATCATTAAGTGTTTGTGCACGTGTTGTGTTGGTAACTTTGGTACAAGTGGTACAAGTGGATGATAGTCCAGAGTCTGCAGGCAACCCTTTAATGCTGATGACCAAAGAGAACTGACATTCTCCTATGACAGTATCCAGGGCACAGATTCTTCTCAGTGTATGTGTGCTATGGATCTGACCATGGCAGGAAGCCTCACCAACTTTGCTTCTTCGACGCATCTCAAAGAATGGACAGTGGTCACCCAGGGTGTGAGAGCTGTCCTAGTGGATGAGGCCACCTAGATACAGAAAATCTCCTGAGTAATTATTTCCCATTAAGAGTAGGGTCTGTAGACAGGACAGAAGTGGTTGTAGCTGTAAATGATCACATCTCACCTCACACATAACATGGATTTCATGTGCTTTAGCAAGAAGATGCTGTTCAGCATCTTTAGGGCTTAAGATATTGAAGATGCTGGCCCTGAATACAGTCTTTGTAATGTGCATTGCATACTGTGTGTGCAGCATGCTATGTGTGGTGTGCTCTGTGTGCAGTGTGCTCTGTGCAGTGTACTGTGTGCAGCATGCTCTCTGTGCAGTGTGCTGTGTTCAGCATGCTATGTGTGGTGTGCTCTGTATGCAGTGCACCATGTGTGCACTGTGCTCTGTTAAGTATGCTGTGTGTGAAGTGCACGCTGTGTGCTGTATGTGCAGTGCACTGTGTGCTCTGTTAAGTATGCTGGGTATGCAGTATGCTGTGTGTGCAGTGCACTGTGTTAGCTACTGTTGCAGGCTTTTCTCTGCCTCCACAGTCCACATCAGCGCATGTCCCTGCTGTAGTGTGGTGGTATGACAGTCTTCTCTCCTTTTCTAACAGCAGTATTGAGCCCCGGCTTCTTTGGGAGAGAGTGGAAAAGCTGGTCCCCAGGCCAGGCAGTGGCAGCTCTTCAGGATCCAGCAACTCAGGATCCCAGCCCGGCTCCCATCCTGGGTCTCAGAGTGGCTCCGGTGAACGCTTCAGAGTGAGATGTAGGCTATCTCTCCTACACACTTTCCCTGGGAACAGCCATGGTTGTAGTTTGTTGTTAGAAGAGCACCATGTGTAAACGGAGGCCCGGATTTGCATATAGCTGCATTTTAAAAAGTGACGCTCTGACGTAGATTGCTGAGGGTATAAACAGTCCCAATAATGTTACTCAGAAAGCCATGTTTTCAGAGCTTCACACACGTGACACTGCAAGGACTTCACAGCTGAGTGTAATTAGCTAAGCGCCTCAGCTGGGATTTGAACACATTTCTTCCACTTTGAACTCTGAGGCTGTACTGTGGTCAGTGTGTATTACTGGTAACAGTAGTTGAAAAGTTCCCTTACAGTGTTCTTCTCAGTACTGGGAGCGTGTATTAAGCAGATGTGGGATTGTAAGTGGAAAGCGGTAAGCCTTTCCCTCAGAAGGGCTGCCAACATGTCCCTTGACCCAGAGTTCAGACTATGGAGATCGGTCAGCCAAACCGGAAGCTAGATTGATGAGGAGGAGTGGAGGGAGATGGACAGTCTGTGGCATGCATACATCTGTGTGTTTCTGTTTTTTTGTTTTTGGTCTCTTTTGAACTTAACAGCCTCATCCAAGTCTGAAGGCTCTCCATCGCAGCGCCTTGAAAATGCAGCCAAAAAACCCGAAGATAAAAAAGAAGTCTTTCGACCTCTCAAGCCTGCTGTAAGGATTGTGTAAAATTAATTAGTTCAATTTTAAGCTTGAGTGAAACCTTTGTGTTAAGAATATAGTTAAAGGGCTGGGGTGTGCAGTTGCACTTGGGAGGTCCCAAGCTCAGCGTCCAGCAAAAAGAAGAAAGAAAAAGTTATGGAGAGGCCTGCTGTGGTTTGATTTTTGTGTGGCCCTTCCCTGGTGTGAGGAAATAGAAGAGTTGTCTGATAGAGGATGCCTCTGTGGGTTGCCCCTTGGGCATCTCATTTCTGAAGTCATCAGCAGGGTAGCTTCTTTGCTCTACTTCAGCCTTACACTAACTGTCCAGTCAGCTTTACAGAGAAGTGCAGAATAAAGTATAGTTTTATGTATTGGCAGATTTTAAGGAAATAAGTACTTTATAGTAATACTGAGTAAAAGCCAAAAGCTCCAACACAGGCATGCACACATACACATGTGCACAGACGCACGACACACAGTCACTGCTTGGCATTGACCTTATTCTTCATAAGTTTGGCATTTGCAGTACTAGCTTCCAGAATGTTTGTAAATCAGCTTTTGGAATCCTCCTGTGGCTTGAGTGCTGCCCTCTTTTTTTTGATGATGGCTGTGACTGCTCCTCCTGCTTCCTCACTCCTTGTCATAGCAGTTAGTCATGTGGCTCTGGGTACTTGTGGGGTTTTAAACCTATTGAAGTTTTACTTTCCTCTTTAACTGACTTCTGGACGCCCCTCCCCTTCTTTCTGCTGCCTGCTCCCTTCTCTGCATTCTTCGTCAATGATGGCCTCTCTCGCCACCTCCATGGAATCGCCGTGTCCTGAAGGGAGAAGTGGTAAGCCCTCCCCCCCCACCCCCCATGGCTAGCTTCTGCAGCGCTCTCTGCCTCTCGGCTCCGATCCCCTCAGGCCTGAGCTCTGCCCTCTGCTTGCCCTTAATGATCATCAGCTGCGTTAGCAGTGAGCCAATCGCTGGATATTTATTGTCAAACCTACCTCTCTGAACAGCTGTTCTAAAGGTGCTGCTTTGCCACAGACAATTGCTAGGATACAGTAGGCTTAAGCTTGCTTCCTGATAGTTCAGAGGCTTGAGGTCAAAGCTAAAAAGCATATTTTTAACTGCATAAAAGAATACTAAGTTGGAACTGCTCTTTAAATAAAAAGGGAAAAACAGTCATGTAGTCGGTTTTTAAAATGCTATTGATTTTAAATTCCCAAGTAGAAAGGGGTATTTGGATTTAAATGAGAGGGGTAAGTAATCAGTCTAGGAAATTAGATTTAGCGAACTGATAAGAATATTAAAATATCTACACACAGAAAAGAAAAGCCAGGTTTTAGTAAACTTTCCTCTGAGGTTGACAGCCATTGTCGGTATAATAGGAATGTGGCTAAGTCTAGAGGAAGGCCGTGGCATGTGGCAGTTGAACTTTCCCCCTGTGGATGCCCTCAACTCAGGCAGATGGCAGTGACAACTGAGGGTGAATGTGTGCTAGCACTCTGCTGTCCTTATTCTTGAGATTCCTCATGAACTGTGGAGGGGAAACCCCATATGTTAGCTCAGATCTTCGTAACTAGAGGCCAGTGTGCTCAGTTCTGAATAGTCCTACGAGAAGACACACTGTCTGGGCTGGAGAGATGGCTCAGCGGTTAAGAGCACTGACTGCTCTTCCAACAGTCCTGAGTTCAATTCCCAGCCACGACATGGTGGCTCCCAACCATTTGTAATGGGATCCGATGCCCTCTTCTGGCATGTTTGAAGACAACTACAGTGTACTCATATACATAAAATAAATCTTAAAAAAGAAAAAAAACAACTATCTTGAAAAAAAAAAAAGACATGATGTCATGTAGTCACGTCTTTGCAGCAGAAACCTCTTACTTTCTTAGACTTACTCAAAGCAGGGTGCTGTCAGCTCATCCTGGCAGACCACTGTACGGTAGGATTTGGATTGTCTGTTACACCTGCCTTCTTCCTTCTTTCTCATATGAAAAATAAATCTCCACGAATCCTTCTCTGAGACTGACTTACTGGAAGTCGGCCTGGAAGGCTCGTCACCTTTCTCTCCCTATCTTTCCCTTTTCCTAACTTCCTTTCCCTTCCTATGTCTTAGGACTTGACGGCGTTGGCCAAAGAGCTTCGAGCAGTGGAAGATGTGCGGCCACCTCACAAAGTGACAGACTACTCCTCCTCCAGTGAGGAGTCTGGGACCACGGATGAGGAGGAGGAGGACGTAGAGCAGGAGGGGGCTGATGATTCCACCTCAGGACCAGAGGACACCAGAGCAGCGTTAGTATTTGCTGGGCTCGAAGATAAGAGTCTTCCTAACTAGGCCTTCTCTCTGTGGCAGCCTGCCCTAGTCCTGTGGCAGCAGTCTAATGGAATGTTCCTGAACTCAGTGACATACAGCTTTTACACACGCACGCACGCGCGCACACACACGCACACGCACACGCACACACACACACATCAGTGTCTTCCCACAATATCTCAGCATGTCTCTTTTCCTTCTAATTTAAGGGTTCAGTAAAAGGGACGTTTCGGTGTGGTATGACTTAATTAGAGATAATAACTCATTCTGATTAATGTTCTGCTTAAGAATAAAGTGAACAGCAAGGAACTTTTCTGTGGGAGAAAGCCACATGCTTGCTGTCCTATAGGAAACTTAGGCCGAATGCTTCCTCTCGCCTTTAGCTTTGAGAGGGTCGCATGGCTTGGCTTGGTATCCACGACTTGCGGATCTTGTCTCTTCAGGTCATCTCTGAATCTGAGCAATGGTGAAACAGAATCTGTGAAAACAATGATCGTTCATGATGATGTAGAAAGTGAGCCGGCCATGACCCCGTCCAAGGAGGGCACCCTCATCGTCCGCCAGGTACCGGAGCCGCCTCTTCTGTTGTCAGAGGCTGAGCTTCTCTGTGGTCATTAACCCACCTGCTCATTCACTCACTCATGCTATTTCTACATCATCATCGTTTTCATGTTAACACAGCTCTGAGGGTAGCGTGTCCTGGGCTAGGGAGGCAGGTGTGTGCTGCATGCCACGAAGGTAGCCAGTAGTCTTCCACCCACATTGCTGTTCCCCTGCATGCTTGTGGCAGCCTTCATCCAAGCACCATGCTGAGTCTCACAGTCTGTGTTGGAGTGGTAGAGAAGCCACAGGGAGTCCTGTGAGGGCTCACAGAGGGAAGGTACAGATCTGGAGCCTCTTTAACGGCCACCCTGAGGCCCTGCTGGGGCATCTGGCCCTGCGTCTGCAGCATTGGGGCCTGGGGATGAGCGGGTCTCCTGTGGTCCAAAAATGATAACTATTTGTGATGCAAGATGGATTCTGCTTGGACCATGATATTTTGTAACTGTCTGTTCATTCTTAGCTTAGATTTCATCCAAGTGATAGGCTCCTCACTGAAGCAGGACAGGGCACTCTCTAGGCTTTGGGTTTTTGCCCTGAGTGTTTCATGTCACAGTAGTGTATTTGGATGGAAAGTAGGAAGAACCTAAGAAGATCAGGATTCAGAGAAACTACAGGGTCCTCTCTGGAGGTGACTTAGACAGACTTACAGAGACAGCAAGGGGGTCGTCTTCTACCGGATGCTATTGCTGCAGATCAACCAGGGGAACACATGGTGCTGACATTGGGTGCTCCCCAGTGAGGTGCTCCAGTTCAGTTGGCTCAAGTTGGGCATTTGGCAAGAAAGTTTGAGCAACTCTGGCTAATTTCCTTGGATTTTCCTTGGTAATTTAATACAGTTTGAAAAAATAACACAGCACCTTGAACAAAGCAGTTATCAGTAGGGTTGTCTGCAACGTCAGCAGCGCCTGAGCGAGACCAGTGTGCCTGTTTTTTCTACAGAGTACAGTTGACCAAAAGCGTGCCAGCCATCATGAGAGCAATGGCTTTGCGGGTCGCATTCACCTCTTGCCAGATCTCTTACAGCAAAGCCATTCCTCCTCCACTTCCTCCACCTCTTCCTCCCCATCCTCCAGCCAGCCGACACCCACCATGTCCCCACAGACACCCCAGGACAAGCTCACTGCTAATGAGGTATGTCTCGCACCACAGCTGGCTGCTTTCCTGGGGTTAGACCAGCACTGCCTAGGAGCTAGTTGGCAAAGAAGCCCTTCCCAGAAGCCCACCCCCTTCCCTGTGCCCTGCTCTTCTGTCATCTGCCCTCCTCCCCAGTCCCAAGTAACATGTGCAGATCTGCATACAGATCCCTAACCCTAGATGGATCGACCCCAGACTTGCCAGTTCACTGTTCCCTTCTAGAGAGTAGAGTTGCATGGCTTGCTTTACTGTTTATTTTTTTAAGTAAATAAAATGATTGCTGTGTTTTCAGATCCATTACGTATTTGGCATGAAATCCTTGTAGTCATTTGTGGAACTTGCTCTTCATTCTTTTTATCTAGTGTATAGAATACAGGAAAATGTGACTCCATAGCCTTGACCTTGCCTGCACAAACTTTTTGTCTTTTGTGAGAATCCCCTGCAAATAGGCATCTATTGTTGTTAGTTACTGGTTTCATTTGTTTATTGGGGGGGGTGTTATTGGTTGTCGATTTTGGTTTTCACTCACTCTTTTAAAGGGATCTGTTTCCTTGACACCCACACGTACTCAGAGTTTAAGAAGTCAAGTGCTCTGGGGGAAAATGTAGAAAACTGATGCTAAGCAAGGACAAAGGTCTGAGCTTTCTTTTAATTTAAAGTTTTGTAGAAGGTGTCCTGTGAGTTCATGGCATGGCTGCACTGCTCAGTCTGGGTCATAGGTGGGTGAGTCTTTGATCTGTAAGTAGGTCATGCCCAAGTGCAGTGATGGAGCCCACCCTGAACACCTGCTTATTTAAGCAAGCATTTTATTTCACAGGTTTGGGGCCTATTGAGTCCATTTGTTTAATAGTTGAGAGATTCTAAGCAGGCATTTAGTTTCAGCCAGTCTTGTTAACATAAACACTTGATTGACTGTGAACAACAGTGATACTTTGGTTCCCTCATTAGAAAACCCAGGAACACTCTTCCCCTGAGATCAGCACCAGACAGCTGCCTTCTGGGCAGTGTTGGCATCAGACTGGCCGTCATGGCTCGGCCACTAATTGATTGGGCAGGGCGAGAAGCCTGTGAGATGTCAGCTGTTGTATCAAGTGGGGAAGCTTAGGGGCATGGGCTGTAGGACACAGTAACTTTCAAGTTCCCCACAGCAGAAGTGAGTAGAGGAAAAGGCGCCTGATTGGTGTGTTCTGTCCTGAAACCTGTGCTTGCACGCCTTTCCTTGGTGATATCACATGCTCCATCTTACCATAGCCTTAACTCACTAAACTGGCAAGTGTTTCTGTTTGGTTTTAACCATCATTACATCTCCACCTAACAACTGTTTCACTTTCTCTGTGAGCTTTTTGTTTGTTTGTTTGTTTGTTTTATTTTTTGGTTTTAAGTTTGTTATTAACACTCGTGCTCCTCAAAGGCCAGTAAGTCATGTCTCCTGTTATTTGTTGTTTACTAATGAGCCTTTTGTGTGATATGGACTTAATGGTGATTCTGTCATAGTACAAAGTAGATCACACCAGTAGTCTGTCACAGTATATAGGACATCACACCAGTAGTCTGTCACAGTATATAGGACATCACACCAGTAGTCTGTCATAGTAGCTAGGACATCACACCAGTAGGCTGTCACAGTAGCTAGGACAT